GARTGCTCAGGRTCTCTCACTCYGATYCCAAATCACAGCAGGAGCACTCAGGGTCTCTCACTCTGATCCCAAATCACAGCAAGAGTGCTCAGGGTCTCTCAYTCTCACCTCGTTTTTAACCTGGTGCAGGTGAAAACACATTCCAAAGTGTTCTTTTTTTTATTCCCCAAAAACCAAATTGGACTTTGCTCRCCGCCACAGAGCAAAGACAAGATAAATAAATATGCTGGGCTGTGACCCAGCTGCCCTGCAGCCACCAGGGAAGCGTTTTAGCCAGCCTTGATAAACTTCTGATTATGTTTCCACGTACAGACACATCCCCACAGTACGGGTTGTGCTCACGAGGACCTGGCACCACCCCAATCCCAAATTCTCCCTATTTTTGAGACCCTGGACACTCTGAGCTTCCTAAGGCAGCAAAGAGAGCTGAAGCTCTGGAAGGAAAAGCGGGCATCACTGCTTAGAACCCTTGACTTCCCTCTGGAAAGCTCCTAAAATGCATCCCTGCTGTTCCTGTTGTCGTTTGCTGAGTGGTTCAGTCTCCTGCAGAGCTCCTGCTGGCTGTCCCCATCCCAATCCACGGACCACCAGYCCCCAAAAGCTTTTCCCAAGTCCTCTCTACATCCCAAACTCGTTTAAGGAAAGAGACATCCCAGCAATGCATCCTTTCCCTGTAACAAACACCATCCTTAACATCTGGGTGCTGTGCTGGCTCCTCCCATCTCCTCTCTTCCATCTCCTCTCTTCCATCTCCTCTCTTCCATCTCCTCTTCATCTCCATGTCCTGCCAGGGCCTCCAAAACCCAAGGAACACAGCAAGGCTATGGTGGGAGATGAGAGGGAAAAGGGATCTGGACAGGATTTAGGGATATTTTGCCCCCAAGGCTCTTTCAGCCGACAAGGGGGGATATTTCACACCACAGATGCTGTGACCTGCAGCCTCGTATTTCCCTCGGGATACAAAATCAGGTCAACAACATGGAAAACACCCAGCAGAGAGGTCAGGCTTCCTGGAGAAGAAGTGATGTCAACCATTGTTCCCCCTCTCCGGCTTCCTGAGCTTCTCCATCCCGCTATTGTTCTATATTTCCATGAATGAAACCCACAACAATTCCCAAATTGAGGAAGAGGAGGGCAGAGTGGTTTGGGAATGGGGCAAAGCTGCTGCTGGTGTTCTTTGGTGGGTCCTCCACCTCGAGATGTAGATCTTGTCCATGGGTAAACCCCAGATCTGGGTTTGGTTTTGTGAYCTGGTGGGGCTGCTCCTCGCTGTGTTTTGGGCTTGGGCACCTCAATGTTGGCATCAGCCCATGGGAACAGCTGCCTTTGCACCCTCTTCCCTTCATCCCTGCTTATTTTTAGCAAATCCCTGCTGGAGAAAACAAYGTTGTGCACACAGAGGCCAAAATTAGCTGTTCACCCTGGAGAGGGCCTTTGTTCCCCCATCCGTGAGGAATGCCTGAACTTCTCACCCTGAGCTATGGCTGCTCAGTGAGGCTGGAGCTTGAATTTTTTTTAAAAATTTATGGATCCAGCCCATTCTAGTGGCACCTGCACAATCCTTCCCCATGGGAAAATCATTGGCTGCTGGGCATGTCTGCTGTGGGGTTTTTTTGATGTCCTGGTGCCATCCATGAGCCATYCTGCAGGATTTCCCAGGATGCTGGAACCCCAGCAAGATCTGTCTCCATCTCTGGTGTTCAGCTGGGCAGTGGCAACCCCAAAAAAATAAACCTGGAGTTGGCAGCTCCAGCCCAGTGACYAGTGACAACACAAGGGCTCCAAATAAAATCAAACAGAAAAGATTTATAACTCACAAATCTCACTTTTAGCATCCTAAGAGTCAAGGATCCATCCTTTAGGGCTTTCAATTTGCTCTTTCCTTATCCCTCTGTAGCATCAAGGAGATGTTTTCCTAAAGCAACAGCACTTTTAAGGAAATAATTCTGATTTCTTGGAGAGAAAACACAAAKAATGCTGTGCCTGCATGGTAAACAAACAAGGTAGTGCCTTGCTGTGCTTCATAAAAATGTTTTTTCCTCCTTTTTATTTAGATTTATGGGATCCTGCTGCATTTATGGGATCCCATGAATGTTTCAGAGAAGTCCACCCTCCAGGCAGTGAATGTTCATTCCTTGCTGCCTTACAGAGCTCCTACTGAAAAATTTATGGATAGCACAAGAAAAGGATAAAAGACTGTAAGAAAAGTTTTCCACTTTTACCTGGGGAGGGAAAATTAATTAATAAATGATGCTGGCGATAAAAAAAAAACCTCCTACTCCATTTATTCTTCAGGCTAAAAGATCTTCATTCTTCTCTAGTGCTATTTTGGGAGGAGAGATATTAAAATTCCCCCTGCCCTTAAATTACTGTTTTGTTCTTGCTGCAAAAAGCAGCCCCAGGGTCAGAGAAAATAAAAGGGTGAGTGCTTCAACRAGCTGGGATCTGCTTGTTTATACCACCCTGGATCTGGCACCACACACCCATCAAACACGGGGTGGGGATGCAGGAGGTGATGGAGACACAACACACCAGAATCCCATGAACACAGGAAACATCTCAGAAAATAGCACTGACCTCGAGTTACCCAGGCTTGTTTTGTTACAGCCACTTTGCAAATGAAGAGTTGGGCTGAGGGAGGGATGGGGATGAGGGGGAGAAGGAGTTAGAAAGGATTTTTTAGGTGTTCTGTTTGCAAAGCTGGCTCTGTGTT